TAAACTCAAATCGATAAAATGAACATTCTTTTATAATTGTGTTTATTTCAAAATATATATACATAGACATAGGCTTCCATCCCTCCGAAGGACGTCTCAGGGTTGCTTTTCAAATAATATATTGAAATTAAAAGTGGTGTTGCTTTATAGGCTAGGTTGACGTTAAGATTTTATAAAATCATTGCTTTTGGTGAGAGTGGTAACTTTAACCGGCTGTTGTAAGTTGATTGGGGGGCTGACCTGGTGTTGTTGTTATTACTCACAAGAAGTCTGGGTAGTGAAGTAAATTCACGTTGTTTTATCATTTTTTTTGTATTAGTTGATATTTTAATGAAAATGACATTATAACATGCAATGTGAGTAACGAAACATATAAGAGGGCAAAACGTAACATCAAGATTAGAGTCTCTTTAATTCATGCGTTTAAGTCAGTGATTATGATTCATTAACGAGAACTTTGTAAGATAAATTTTTTTTAATTTTAATTCTTTTTGTGATACAAAACATTGTAGTAAAATCAGAATCATAAGTTCAAATATAAAAACCAAACGATACCTAAATGTTCAAAATTAAGCCGTAAATATATTGTGCCAAATTTTAATATTAAAAATGGTAAAAAGGTTGTCGTCCTCAAAGATTGTTATCAAATTCTTATTAAGTACTACACTTAAAATAAGAGAGGATGAGTGAAATAACGCAATTACTAGAGTGATTAGTAAATTATAACACAATTTTTTAAAACATATAGTTTATAGCACAATTTAATATCTTAAGTTTACAGCATTATTAAAAACCCAAAAATACCTTGAAACCCTCTCGTTCCCACCTTTCTCCTTCCCCTTATAGTCAAGTCCAACGGTCGGTGCCGGCGACTGGTGATCGGCTCCGGTGACCGGCATCGACGGGTAGATTTTTGAATAAATATATTATTACAAGTAAATAAGATATTTACTGGTAAATACGATATTTACCGGTAAATATAGTACAGTTGTCGGAGCTAGCGGCCGAATTTTCAGATAAATATGGTATTTACAAATAAATATGATATTTATCGGTAAGTACGATATTTATGCTGGCAATCAAATTTTTGAATAATTATGGTATTTGTTCCACCATGGTCGAGGAGTATGACCATAAGCAATATTGTGGCGTTGATAAGTTAAGCCATGACCGGTAAATCTTCAAGTCAAGAAGTGACTGATGACTAAACACGACTCCAGTTGAAGAATCTTGCGCTGGCGTATATACCAAGTCGAGAGATGCGTACGAGGTTACACAAAACTCGGCATATGGATATGAACCAAACAGAGATAAGCTGAAGATTGACTTGAGACCAAAAAATCATGAGAAGATAACCCCAGATCCCACATTCAAATTCAAATACGAGATAACAACTAGAAGATCAGATTAGATAAGGATTATCACTTCTAGAGATAATGTAAATTTCAAGAGATGTATGAGAGAAGCATATAAATAAGGGTGAAAACTCCTCATTTATTTTCCAACATAACTTTCTACTCTAAAAGAGATTCATTGTATTCTTTGTGAATTGGTGCATACATAAGTGGACGTAGGCAACAATATTCTGCCGAACCACTATAAATTTTCGTGTATTCTTTACTTTTTCTGCATTTATTTGCTGATCAATTCGCGAGTGTTGTTGTGTGAGTGTTCTCGGAGAGGTTAAATTCTGAGTTGACGAATTTACATCATCAACAATATTTATGAGTAAATAAGGTATCTACAAGTAGATACAATATTTATAGATAAATACGATATTTACCGATAAATACGGTATTTACCGGTCGCCGAAGCCAGCCATGGAGGACCTAACTAGAAGGGGGGAAGGAGAGAGATGACTTAGGGGTATTTTGGGATTTTTAATATTATTGAAAGCCTAAGATATTAAATTGTGCTATAAACTACATATTTTAAAAAAATTATGCCATAATTTACTAATCACCCTACTAATTGTGTTATATGGTGTATTTCTCTTAAAAGAATATTAATTTTATTTAGAAAATCAAATCAAATATGAATACAAATATCAAATTAAAAATTTATACTACAAAACCTTAAAAAACATTAAGGTTGCAATGGAAGCAAAAGTCAACATATTAGGATTTCAGAGGTTCGATTTCACCTAACTTTAAATTATACTTTTCTTGTTAATTTTTACTAATTAATTTTCCTAATTTATAAACTAAGAATCCTAATTTATTCAATTTCCTTTCCCGATTGCATAGTGAAAATATAAAATCCGATTTCAATATCCCTTTAAAAATCATGAAAATAGGAATTCATTATGTTTGTCAAGAAAGTAGCAATACAAAACCTTCCAATATGAGTGTTGTAAATGATTTCTCTCTTCTTCTTTTCTCCCTTTTATTTTATTTTATTTTATTTTACTAAGGTTTTCTCTCCGTCCTCTTTCTTATTGAAATACGTAAAGTCATTAACAACTTTGCAGCAAAGATATGATGCCAATATCATAAATATTGAACAAAGATAAGAAAAGTGGCATGATTGTAAATAATGAGTGTAAAGGAAAAGGTGTACTGTCGTTTTGGTTAGGTCTTAAATGAGTATATTAACCGGCTGTAGGCAAAAGAAAAGAAATTGCTGGCACATTACCCTTGCCTACATCAATACCGTCCAATTCAACATCATCGATTTAAATAACAAACGAGGGACGGCGGACGATAAAGCCCGAGGGACGCAAGAAACGCCCTCTATATATATATATATATTTTATGGCCACAATCCACATGCTGCACAATTTACAATCCATGGACTGTTTTCAATGTCAAATTTTTTATACGAAAATCCTGACAAAATTTGGGATAAGAATCGTGAAATTAAGGCCAGGCCTAGATTACAAGATACATTCAACGGAACAAACTAAATACAAAAATATTAACTTTGTCCAACATAAAACACTAATGTAATTGATTAAACAATTAATTCTTAAATATTGTTACATAAGTTCAGCAAAAAAAACAAAAAAAAAAATACACGATAGGTTGAAGGTGAATCACAATTTAGAGATGAGGTAAGAGAGGACGTCATCCTCAGCAACCATCTGCCCTAATGCGCTTACCTTCACTTTTTTTATTTAAGTCAATATATTAAATTATTTTACGTTTTTTAATTCAATATTTTACCTTCACTTGTACAATACGGTGCTCTTTTTAGGGCTTCTATTAATACGGTTCCATTGTAATAATAGTAATAAAGTATGTTTTTGGATTTTTTTTCTTTTTATAAGAATATATATATATATATGTTAGGGATTGATAACGACAGAATTTGTACTTTTTTTATTTATTCATTTACTTTTCGGGACCTGTAGAAAACCATCGATTTCAGAAAACAGTGTCAGGATATCAATGCCTGATTATTTCATCTGAACGCAACGGAAACATCCAAACAGAAACCCTTCGATTCTTTTTTTTTTTTTTTTCTCTTTTTATTCTTTTTATAATTTTTTTCCTCTTTTTTATTATTTATTTTGTCATAGTAATTAAGACCCTGACCCGTTTATTTTACTGATTTGAGTTTAGAATTTGAGTTTTGTTATAGTAAAAAACTTTAAAAAAACAGTCATATTTAATTTTTTTATTACAGTAAAAAGCTCTTACATAAAGTCACATTTAAAAAATTATATGAAACAGTCACATTTAATTTTTTTACTATAGTAAAAAGCTCTCACATAAGAATATAAATGCCTCGTTCATTTCACCGATTTTAATTTTTAATTTTAATTTTATTAAAGTTAAAAATTCTCATAAAAAATCACATTTAATTTTTTTATTATAGTTAAAATTTTTTTATATAAAATTATATTTTAACTCAAATTAAAAATTTAAATCGGCGAAGTGAAAGAACAAAAAAAAGCTATCTATACTCCGATGTCAAGTCTGATGTTGTGTTTTACATTCACACAGTACAACTTAAGGCTGCTGTCGCTTTATTATTACATTTCGTTTAGAAAAAAACAAGGTGCTAATTTGGACCTTAATAGTCTTATCAAGGCTATGGAACTCTGGAATTCGCAGGTAAAATGCATCGGAAATTTTCATTGATTTTTCAGAACTTTTTTTGGGTAGAAATATCTTGGACTAATAATCTAAAATTTAAAATTAGACCCCATAGAAAATCATATAAACACTTAATAGAATACAAATCTAACAGAATCAGATTCATAATCGGCGTAAACCCTGTAAATTCTTTCAGAATTTGAAATCATAGTTTTACTAGCGCCCAAAATTTATAATACGAAACTCTAGATAGTGGAAAGAAAGTACAAATCACTGCGCTGAATAACTAGCTTAAGAAAGAACCCAACGTAACTCTAGTACAATAAATCTAAAGAGAGTACGGTACTACGGTTTGTTTTTTTTTCTTTTTCGGTTTTCCAATAAATGACAAAGAACAGTTTTGTTTATATGGGTAACAGTAAGTTCGGCCACGTACTATAAAGACGGCGTATTTAGGCGCCAGATTATCAGAATTAGACAGAAACCGATCTACAGAAAACAAACACAGATCCCACCGCCCTGATCTAAGGCAAATTATGTTATATAATCGTGATTAACTATTCAGATTGACCTTAATATAATTTTCCTTTCACAAACAAAACAGATGCCTATAGAAGTGACACAGTCCTAAAGTGGGTCCCACTTGTTCCATTAGACGTCCTTAGTGACGCTAAACACACACACAAAAAATATGGAAAAAAAAAAACAGCAATAAAGTCAACCGTCATCTTTTTCCCTCCCTCCTAATAAGGGTCCCCCACTTTTTTTTTTTTTTTTTTTTTTTTTTTTTGGGTTGTGATGCACTTATATGGGGCCTATATATACAAGTTACAAGGCAGGACCTGTATTTGCTTGTCCCGAGTCATCATCCGACTTACAAAGTAATTAAGGGTCGGGCCATTTTTTGGAAGCAACCCAACACCCAAAATCAAAACACCACTGAGAACGTGGCCCGGGAATCTTTATAACCAGGCGCCGCTGTTTGGTTCCTGAGAAACTTGCTGAGAAAAAATGGGACAGGAAAATAGCGGCGGTGTCAGGAGGAAGAAAGGTGCTTGGTCTATACGCTCCGTTTTCGTCCATGCAGATGGCGTGGATTTAATCCTGATGGTCTTCGGATTCCTCGGAGCCCTTGGTGACGGCTTTTCCACGCCGTTGGTTTTGTTGATCACCAGCCGCTTGATGAACAATATTGGCGGTGCATCATCCGATTCCGCCCAAGATGTTTTCTTGAAAAACATCAATAAGGTAAATTCCTTTTCTGCGTCTATATATAGCAAGTAAACAAAGATAGCGGACATGGACAAAAAAATCTAATGTATTTTTGTTTTGTTTTTGTGGACCGTGACAGAATGCAGTGGCGCTCTTGTACTTGGCTTGTGGATCATTTGTCGCTTGTTTCCTTGGTGGGTTCAACACGAATATTTATTTGCGTATTTACTAATACTCTAGCTAGCAGAAGATTTGAGAAAGAGAGACTAATTTTTTTTTTTTTTTTTTGGGGTACTTTTAGAGGGATATTGTTGGACAAGAACAGGCGAAAGGCAAGCGGCGAGAATGAGAGCAAGGTACTTGAAAGCAGTGCTAAGGCAAGAAGTGGGATACTTTGATTTGCACGTTACAAGCACGTCCGAGGTCATCACCAGCGTCTCCAATGACAGTCTTGTGATTCAAGATGTTCTAAGCGAAAAGGTCTCTCTAGAAAATTAGAATATACAATTCCCAGCAAAAGTTTCTCTCTTTTTTTAAAATTTTTTTTTTTGTGTGACAATTCCAAAAATTAATCCTTTTCAGCTGCCAAACTTCTTGATGAATGCGTCAATGTTCATCGGCAGTTACATAGCGGCGTTTATAATGCTGTGGAAGCTAGCAATTGTGGGGTTTCCATTTGTGGCGCTTTTGGTGATTCCGGGCTTAATGTACGGAAGGACCTTAATGAGCCTGGCTAGGAAAATCAGAGAAGAGTACAATACGGCCGGTAATATAGCCGAGCAGGCTATATCTTCTATACGCACGGTTTATGCCTTTGTGGGAGAAAGCAAAACCATAACAGAATTCTCTTCGGCTCTACAAGGGTCGGTGAAGTTTGGACTTAAGCAGGGTTTGGCCAAGGGCTTGGCCATTGGAAGCAATGGGGTTGTTTTTGCTATTTGGTCCTTCATGGCTTATTATGGTAGCAGAATGGTCATGTATCATGGGGCCAAAGGAGGGACTGTTTTTGCCGTTGGCGCATCTATCGCCGTTGGTGGATTGTAAGCAACTTTTTCTTCTTTCTTCTTCTTGCACCTTCAAATACCAATGAGATATTAGTTCATTAACATCGCTAGTGAAAAAAAAAAAAACAAATTAATTCTTTTAGAGGGCTGCATTTTTTGTTTTCATACTATTCTGCTCATGCCTTATTTTTAGGGCCCGTTTAGTTCGCTGATTCGAGTTAAGATGTGATTTTATGTCATTGTTTTTTACTATAGTAAAAAAATTAATTGTGACTGTTTCTGAGAGTTTTTTACTATAACAAAATTCGAATCGGTGAAATAAACATGACCCTTAATGTGTTCTTTTAGGCCCTTTAACAATATCATATGATAACGTATCGTTAATTGATCCAACACGATACTTTAATTGATGTAATATAATATTATTGATAAGGCAGCATTTTTTACCTTTCATTGTCTATCACTGATGTTTTATTTTTTTTACTAATAAGGAGGATTTTTTATTAAGGTATTCAAAAAAGAAAAATCTTATCATAGATCTTTCTCACGTACGTTAAATTATAATTTTTTTGGTTTTGTTTCCCTTGATCGGAAAAAAAAAAAAAAAAAACAGAGCACTGGGTGCTGGTTTGTCCAACTTGAAGTACTTCTCAGAAGCATGCTCAGCTGGGGAACGCATACTAGAAGTGATAAACCGAGTACCGAAGATCGATTCCGACAACATGGAAGGCCAAGTGTTGGAGAATGTCTTCGGGGAAGTCGAATTCGAACACGTCGAATTCGCATACCCGTCGAGGCCGGAGAGCATAATCTTCAGAGATTTTTGCTTGAAGATTCCATCGGGAAGGACAGTGGCTTTGGTGGGCGGGAGTGGCTCGGGAAAATCTACAGTGATATCACTGCTGCAGAGATTTTATGACCCACTTGGTGGAGAGATACGCCTTGATGGGGTCGCCATTGATAAGCTACAGCTGAAATGGCTAAGGTCGCAAATGGGCTTAGTGAGCCAAGAGCCTGCGCTTTTTGCCACCTCCATTAAGGAAAACATACTGTTTGGGAAAGAAGATGCCGATTTGGAACAAGTGGTTGAGGCTGCCAAAGCTTCTAACGCTCATGATTTCATCTCTAAGTTGCCTCAGGGTTATGACACACAGGTTAGTTCACATCTTGCTGGCCACTTTGCAAAATTCTGACCTTTTTTTTTTTTTTTTTTTCCTTTTGTTGTTGGTTTTGTTTGATATTTATTTTTTTCCTATCTTTCCCTCTAAGACTTTACCCTTTTTTTTAACCAACACATACAATGAACAAATGTGTAAAACATGAATACATGATTGCTTTGCAATATATACTGAATGGCGTACAAGCAGTAGTGCTCAAGGATTCTCTGCTCTCATTTTTTATTAGTGTTTTTTCATTGTTTTGTAGCTTTATTAATCTAACTAATGATTTGGTCCCCCACATACCTTAGCTTCTATTTCCTTTTACTAAAGTTCTAATTGCTTTCTTTATGGCACAAATACGCTGGTATGCCACGCGTATCACCACTTGCAGTCAAATCAAACGTCATACTGAAAACTTTTTTTGTTTTTAGCCAAGACAATATTCAATGGAGCAGCACTTCGGATGAACAATATTTTCTATGATCAATACTATGGGAGAGAAGAAAAAAAAACAATATTGAATACTATTTTTACGTTCAATGATGCACTTAATTTTTTTTTTAATCAAGTTGATTGACAATAAGAACAGTTACACGATTACGTGTAATGATTGAACAGCTAACATGGACTATGTTTTCAAAGAAAAATGCATATTGTTGCATGTTGACTAATTTACTTCCATGCTCTTTTGAAAAAGTTTTTTTTTTTTTAAATTGATAATAGAATCTCATTTAATTTGTAGTGTCAAAATGTAAAACAAAAAAAGTGAAAAAACCTATTTGGTCCAACGGTATTGACAATTTATCAACAGCATGATTGGGGGGGGGAAAAAAAAAACAAAAGAAGAGTTGTTCAATTATTCTACTTATTAAAGCACGTCCAATCTTCAGACCAGGATTTATAAGGCTCAAACCCACAGCTGTTATTCCATTGTGAAGGAATCCTATTATAGAAACCCAAGTCATGCTTGTCACTTTCTGGCCAACCATATTTTCAAAACTCATATCCTTTTCATTTTGAGTAGTAAACTACTACTTAGACCATTTCTGACAGTTATAGTACTAAGGCACCTGAATTTAGATTTCCCCTAATGCACACTCATATATATATATATATATATGTATGTACATATATTTAGACACACACACATACCGTTTTTAAGTCAATGTTTAACTGTTTATAGTTATGTAGTAAAAGGGTGGGTCAGTTTTGTTATTGTTTTGGTTTCTAAACAAAGAAAATCTGTTATCGTTTTGGAGTCTTCAAGAGTACTAATTTGTACAGAACACTATACAAGTAGTATATTTGTTACCAGTACACAGTTATTTGGAGATTATGTGATTTTTAACTTTTGTTTAATTCTACTGCTCTTTTTCCTTACGATAATTGTTGATTTTTTTTTTCCCCCCAAAAGCACAACAATTACATACTAAAGCCGAAGTGCCAAACATATATAGAAATATGATGAAAACAAAAGTGAATTGATTTGATATTGCATGATATATATTTCAGGTAGGTGAAAGAGGTGTTCAAATGTCGGGAGGACAAAAGCAAAGAATAGCCATTGCAAGAGCAACCATCAAGAAACCTAGGATCCTCCTCCTTGACGAGGCAACAAGCGCGCTCGACTCCGAGTCAGAGAGAGTAGTCCAAGAAGCCCTAGACAAAGCCGCCGTGGGCCGGACCACCATCATCATCGCCCACCGCCTCTCCACCATCCGAAACGCCGACATCATCGCCGTCGTCCAGAATGGCCACGTCATGGAGACTGGCTCCCACGACGAGCTCATTCAGCGCGACGACGGCCTCTACACTTCCCTCGTCCGCCTCCAGCAAACGGAGAAACAGAAATCCCCGGAGGAATATTCATCGAGCCACGCCACTTCATCCTCCATATCAAGCATTGACATGAACAACACGAGCAGCCGAAGACTTTCCATCCTGAGCCGCTCGAGCTCCGCAAACTCGGCACGAGCCTATTCAACGGCCGGAGACGACGTCGTTCAAGAGGAGATGAAACTGCCCGTGCCGTCGTTTAGGCGGTTGTTGGCTCTGAACTTGCCTGAGTGGAAGGAAGCGCTTCTGGGGGGTTCGAGCGCGACATTGTTCGGCTCGGTTCAGCCGGTTTACGCCTTCGCTATGGGGTCAATGATTTCGGTCTATTTCTTGACGGATCACGACGAGATTAAGGAGAAGACTCGGATTTACGCGCTGTGTTTTCTTGGGCTGGCGATCTTCTCTTTGCTGATCAATGTTTGCCAGCATTACAACTTCGCATACATGGGAGAGTGCTTGACGAAGAGGGTTAGGGAGAGAATGCTTTCGAAGATATTGACGTTTGAAGTTGGGTGGTTCGATCAGGACGAGAATTCTACTGGTGCAGTTTGTTCTAGACTCGCTAAAGATGCCAACGTGGTACGCACTTGTTTATATTATCTTTGTCTTATTGCGCGCGTTTAGAACTCATTCTAAAATAATTTTATTTTTTTTATATGAAAATAAAAAATAAAAACGTTTTCAATTTTAAACAGAAATCATTTTTAAAAATGCATTTGGTAGTTTTATCAAGAGATTATTTTCAGTGTAAAAAAACCCATTAATGTCTCTTTTTCTCTCTCTCTGCTTGGGAGAGAAGAAAACGAAAATTAAAAATTAAAAACGATTAAAAGTCATTTTTCACTCTCTCTCTCATTTTACACTAAACTAAAAAATCATTTTCATTTCTGTTTTTTAAACGCTATTTTAAAAACGTTTTTATTTTTCTTTCTCTAAAAATGTGAAAAATAAAAACGAGATCAGTTCCAAACACGGCCGTCATTTGTTAACGCCCATTTGTTATTGTAAATTTGCTACTAACTCGAGTACGACCACTAAATTAAGCAAATATAATATTTGGTTTAACTAAAACAGAAAGGCAATGATTGGAGTGTATTATATCCAATCATGGGATGAGAATCTTGCATAATTTAGTTCTACAGCTAAAACTTTTTTTTTATTAAAATGAAATGTTACAAAGACTTCGAATTGAAATCTTTTAATATTATCCAATATATACCTTGCTTTAGTGAAATGCGCACCATGGTTCAATTTCATTTTTTTTTTCTCGGCGAGTTATGCCATTCCTTTTTGGACTTGAAAAATGGTCTGATTTTTTAATTGGTTTTTGGTTTTGTGCAGGTGAGATCCTTAGTTGGTGATAGGATGGCTCTTCTAGTACAAACTTTCTCAGCCGTAACGGTGGCCTTCACAATGGGCCTTGTAATTGCATGGAGGCTAGCAATTGTCATGATCGCTGTCCAACCACTCATCATAATCTGCTTCTACACCCGACGAGTCCTTCTCAGAAGTATGTCCAGCCAGGCCAGTAAGGCCCAAGACGAAAGCAGCAAGTTAGCCGCGGAAGCAGTTTCCAATCTCCGGACCATCACTGCCTTCTCTTCCCAAGACAGAATCCTCAAAATGCTTGAAAAGGCCCAAGAAGGCCCGCGCCGAGAGAGCATCCGCCAGTCCTGGTATGCCGGCATTGGGCTCGCCTGCTCTCAGAGCCTCACTACTTGTACTTGGGCTTTTGACTTTTGGTACGGAGGGAGGCTTATTGCGGACGCCTATATTACTTCCAAAGCCCTATTTGAGACCTTCATGATCTTGGTGAGCACCGGTCGTGTCATTGCGGATGCGGGAAGCATGACTACCGACCTTGCTAAAGGTGCGGACGCAGTTGGGACGGTTTTTGCAGTGTTGGACCGGTACACTCGAATTGAGCCCGAAGACCCTGAAGGCTCTCAGCCCGAAACTATAACGGGCTACGTGGAACTTCGTGACGTGCATTTTGCATATCCGGCTAGGCCCGATGTGATGATCTTCCAAGGCTTCTCGATAAAAATCGAGGCTGGAAAATCAACGGCTCTAGTGGGACAAAGTGGGTCCGGCAAATCAACCATCATTGGCTTAATCGAGAGATTTTATGATCCACTCAAGGGGGCGGTGAAAATTGACGGTCGAGATATAAGGTTATACCACCTTAGGTCATTGCGCAAACACATAGCACTAGTAAGCCAAGAGCCCACGCTATTTGCTGGCACAATCAAAGGGAACATAGCATACGGAGCGTCAGATAAGATCGGTGAGACAGAAATCATCGAGGCCGCCAAAGCAGCCAACGCTCACGATTTCATCGCGGGGCTAAAGGACGGGTACGACACATGGTGCGGGGACAGAGGAGTGCAGCTTTCAGGGGGCCAAAAGCAAAGAATCGCAATAGCCCGTGCCATACTGAGAAACCCCGCAATTCTCCTATTGGACGAGGCGACTAGCGCGCTTGATAGTCAATCGGAGAAGGTGGTACAAGACGCGCTGGAGCGCGTGATGGTGGGAAGGACAAGTGTGGTGGTGGCACATAGGTTGAGTACCATACAGAAGTGTGATGTGATTGCGGTGTTGGACAAAGGGAAAGTGGTGGAGAAAGGAGCTCACTCTAATCTGTTGGCTAAAGGGCCTCAAGGGGCTTATTATTCTCTAGTTAGCCTCCAAAGAACGCCAACCTCCGCGAGCCACACAATCGACTAACTGTTCATGTCGTGTCTCGTACGCGCGTAACTAGGTGTATCTTCTTCTAATTTATTAGTTGCTTTTCTTTTGCTACAGGAACTGTGAAATGCTCGCACGCGCGTAAAGCTTCTGCATACTCTCAACCCTTTCAAATTTGAGGGAGGTATGGCACGTGGGTATATATGTAATACTATTCAGAGAGCTTTGGAGTTTTTATTTTGTGTAATAATGGTCTTTTTTTTTTAATATGCATTGTGTACTAGAACAAAGAGAGTTCAAACATACAATGTATATAACTACGTTTTATTATAAATTATCAAAAAAAAAAAAACTATGTTTTATTATAGTTATATTAATTTTTTTTAATTTCTTTTGGATGTGTGCTTAAAGCCATCAACTTGTATTACAATAGCACATTCAAAAATATTAAAAATTTCGATGAACCAATATATATATATATATATAAACAAAATGTATTTGCCTGATTTTGCATTGATCATCTGCTTATAACAAACAAACATATAAATTACTATTGGTTGAGGTGTTAAACGGTTAAGTATTTTTTTTTTTTAAAAGGTAAAAGTGATTAGTTTAATTAAAGAAAAAAACGAAAAACTTCTATTTATAATAGTCACCATTTTATTATTAACTTCCTTAATCATATTTGTCCTTTTATTATTATAGATTAATTTAAAAAAAAAAGGCAATAATAAACAAAGAGGGCAATATGAATTTCACGTTATATTTTAAAGGTCAATTCTAGAAAAAAAAAATAGTTTATTTGTTTAATTAATTCCCATAATTTGACTAGAGAGAATCATGATCAAAATAATTTCTGGTTTTGACTTTACGCCATTAAGTTGCCTTCGGCTTAATGCTGGAACTTCGGGTCGGCGGGCCGCCCGAAGCCTGAATTTTTTCGGGCTCGGGCGGGCCGGCCCAATTCCCGCCCACCCAAGCAAGAAATTTGGGTTCGGGCTCGGGCAGCCCGAATTTGACATGTCCACCCTTGCCCGCCGCCGTCTAACCACGGTATACCGCCGTCCGCCGGGATTTTTTTGAATTTTTCCGACCAAGCCCGACCCGAAATTGCCCGAAATTGGGGTGTGCCCGAATTGCCCAACCCGAAGCCCGAATTTTTCCCGCCTGCCCGAATACCCGAAAACGGCTAGTTTTTTAAATTTTGTCCGAAAACCCGAGTTGCCCGAAAACCCGAAAACGGCTATTTTTTGAATTTTTACCCGAATTCTGCCCGAAAACCCGAGTTCGTGTGTTCATTTCAAATTGTAGTATATATATAAATTTCGGGCTCGGGCGGGCAGCCCGAAAATCTCAGGCGGGTCGGGTTCGGGCTCGGGCAAATCCTCAGGCTTTTCGGGCGGCCCGTCCAAAGTTCCAGCACTTCGGCTATCACATTGTCATCCACCTTAAATTCTTACCATCTCCAAATTGTGTGCGTGTGTTTCTTTTTCTTTCTTTTTCTTTTTCTTTTTAAAAAACCAGCAAAACGAAATTCTTACTGCCTAGTTTTACAAACATGTTTACGTCAAGAAAAAGCGTTACACAAATCAAATTCAACATAAATAGTATTTCTGTTGGGAATTTTATAAAAAAATGAGATAAATACCTTTTAGAATGTATGCCTTTTGGATTTTTACCACTTATTTTTAATTAATATTTTTTAAGTTAAAGAATTATATTGGTCAAAAAAATATTTATTAAGAGTAAGGTTTAAAAAATCTTAGAACAATGTATTTAAAAGGTGAGCTCACCAATTTTCTCAAATTTTGTTGGGATCCTATGGTAAGAGAAAATTGAGATCTTGTCCTTTTCACAATTAAAATCAAAACTCAAATTCTTTTATTACAGTGTCTCTTATAAAAATTCTCTTTTTTTATTATATTATTTTCTCTCACATAAAAAAATTGAGGTGTGACTAACCTAAACTCAATATATATTTCAAAACCAAAATGATGGATTATATAGTAGGATGTCATTTCACAGTCTGGTCGACGGAAATTGGTTAATATGAAAACTTTTTTGTTGTTTTTAAGAACATACGGGATAACTTTTTACTCGACAAAATAGAACGCATGGGATAATTATGTAATTTTATTGTCATTAAATTTAATAAAAAATGAGATTGAGAGCAACATGTTTCTTGAAAAAGTTGATTGCAACATGTGTTTTCTTTTTCTTAAAAATGATAAAAGATAAATCCAGCATAACAAAAACGTTTTCCAAATGTCTCCAAGCAAATAAAAAAAAATGAAAAATATAAGCTGTGTTTGAAATTGATTCTGTTTTTATTTTTCACGTTTTTTGAGAAAAAAATGAAAACATTTTGAAAACGGCATTTGGCGTAATAAAGACCAAAAATGAAAATGAAAACAATTTTTTAGTTTAGTGTAAAATGAGAGAAAAATGAAAAATGACTTTTAGTCGTTTTTCATTTTTTGTTTTTGTTCTCCTCTCTTGAGTAGAGATATATATATATATATATTAGTGGGTTTTTTTACATTGAAAATAATCTCTTAATAAAACTACCAAACGTATTTTCAAAAATAATTTACGTCTGAGAATGAAAACGTTTTCATTTTTATTTTCATACAAAAAATAAAATTATTTTAAAATGAGTTCCAAACGCGGCTATATGTTTGGGATGCCAACTTGTTGGTAAGGGGGGATGGGTTTAAACGATATATTCAATATTTAAATTATGAGAGCAACTAGTTTGTATATTAAAAAAAAGACAAGATGTGTGGGGACTGGAGACTTTACAAAGCACGAATCACAATTCATAAAATGAATTTTTGCCGTGGAAAAAAATCTTTAAAAATATATTAACAATACGGAATACCAAAAACACTCCTTACAGCATCATATCAAGTTTTGTGGTAGCACACCACACCAATCGGTGGTAGTTTACTTTGCTACTGACAGTAACCTGCTATGCTCCGAATGTTCATCGTGATACTAAAAGTATTCCATTGTGTTACTGAATATTTCAGGTGCTACTGACAATAAATTAACCAAATTACTATGCTACCAGTGGTAGTCCACTTGAATACTCAGGAAAAAATACCGTTTCAAAATCAAAGAGAGCTCATGACAAAGTAGATCCAATAGATGACATGTTGAAACACATTCTTAACACGCAAACACCAAACCTGATTAGATTTGAGCCCAGAAAAGTCGCGCACACAGACTTCATTCCAGCAACGCAAACCCATGAGATGCAACAATGCACCAATGTCGTGTACCAACTTCGGTTGCACCAATCGTGCCCGTGTGCTACAAGGGCTGTACAAGTCATACTCCTCGCAGGACTTTGAGCAAGCTGAGTTTCTCACAGCGATTCAATTACAACGCGGTTGTGACTTGTGTTTGCAAATATTTGTCCCCGCCAGTTTGCCGCTACTCATGAACTTTCGTCATTCAGTGAGATAAGAATGGTGTCATAATAGCGAGAATGATAAATTTAACAATTTTTCTAATAAAATAAATGAGCCCGAATATATATTTATAGCCCAGCATAGATATATTTGTTAATGCGTTGAGTGTTAGGTATTAGGAGATAAATAAGTCAAGTTAAACCGTTAAATTTAATGTACATAAAAAATGAGTAAGTTTGAACCATTAGATTAGTGAGTTGAAGTACAATTTTTTGTACATTCATCCTCTCTTCTTATAGAGAGATGGAGAGATATAGAGATATAGCGAGCAAAGGTATAAATGCTGTCCGAATAATAAATGTAAGTCTTAATCAAAATTAAAAGGTATTAGGCGTATAGCTTCTCTTATACAGGTTAGTGGATGATTAGTTTTTATTTTTTTTAAGAATTAGTGGATGAGTAGGTTAACTTAGAAGATAGTGGGTAATTTTTTAGTTTTTATTTGAGAATGATGATAGTGATTAATTTAATTACTCCCCAAAGTTAAAAATAAGATTTTAAATTAATAATTCTAAAACAAAAAAAATGTGGGCTGGAAAATGACGTACATTGTCGAACAAACAAAACAAGAGAAAATCGATCCAGGAAAAGGAATGACTATTCAAAATGGAATGACTTTTCCATCAAATGGGTGAATCATCATTCCTTCATTATATGAGAAAAATGCCCATTTCAAGCTATTTTAATTTTATTTTCCATCATTACCCTTAAATATTATAATATTAATATTAATAATATAATTAATATTATATTATAATGTAATTATATCTTATAACATATAATATTATATATTATAATTATATATGTATATTATAATATATCATATTTAATATTATAATAATATCTTATATTATGTATTATACATTGTAATTATATTTATCATTAATATAATATACGGTATAATCGTCCTATTGTAATTAATAATAATTATTATCATTATATTTATCATTATAATATAATATAATATAATATAGTTGTGATATTGTAATAAATAATTATAATAATAATTGAGATAGTAGTATTTTTTATAAAATTAAATATGAT